AATTTAATTCTCCATTGAACAGTCTTTGTTTCATCCCTTAATATTAATTAGTCGGCGAATAAATCAACTGAAAAACATAAAGTAAACATTGAGTACAAGGAGGACAAAAATAAGCTTCCGAACCTGTTCATGTGACAGCGGGACTGCTACTGCCGAGTTACTCACGCACCCGACTCACATTTACCGACAATTCGACCGGGACGCCGCATTTCCCGTGGGGTACCAACTAACATTTTTGGAGTCCGTCAAACCCCCCGATCCGGGCCTCTACTCAGGTCTATCCTCTTTGAGCGGAGGAATGAATTTTCAAAAGCGTGAAGTAACCCCGAACGGTTCTCCGGCGTCGAGTGGGCGCGGAGGGGCTCCCCCGATTAGAAAATTCATTTCTCCCGCCCCGCCCCCACTAATTGTGAAGAGGGAATGAAAGCAACATCTATCGATCGAGAATAATATTCTCAATAAATGACAGTGGATTCATTTCTTCATCTCTATTAGGAGAGGAGGAATAAATTTTCAAAACGCGCAGTAACTCCGAACAAGTTCTTGTCATTCAAAAATTAATTTCTCCCCTCCCTAATTGAGATGAAGTAATGAAACCAAAGCTTACCGATTGAGAATTATATTTTTAATAAATGACATCGGTTTCATCTCTTAATCTCAGTTAGGAACGGAGGAATGAATTTTCAAAAGCGCGGAGAAACCCCGAACGGCTTTCCGACGTCAAGTGAGCCCGGAGGGCCCCTCCCGATTGGAAAATTCATTTCTCCCACCCTAATTAAGATGAAGGAATAAAACCGATGCCGATCGATGGAGAATTGAATTCTCAATAAATGACAGCGGTTTCATTACTTAATCTCAAGTAGGAGCGGAGGAATGAATTTTCAAAAACGCGAAGAAACCCCGAACGGCTCTCCGGCGTCGAGTGAGTCCGGAGTAGTCCAATGAACGAAGGTCTAACATACGAATGTTTGCTAATCAGGCTCCATTATTGATACAATTTGTGATTTGGGCGTATGAAACTAATGGCGGATGTTTAAGGTTCCCCACGTTTGTGCGGGGGTTGAAAAAGCCAAAAAACTACCCCTGAAAACCGTTTTTTCGAAATAACTCGTCAATAACGCAGTTTACGTCCAAAAACGTGGCATACAAAGTTGTAGAGCTGAAAATTCTACACAAAAAATGTTTAGGACACTTTACCCCTATTCCCAACCGTTCATTCCCCAGAGCCGCGTGAAGATCAGATGGGAAAAAAAAGTTTTCCATTTAAAAAATTGAAGTTAATGAATTTTTTTTTTGTAATTCGGAATATCAATGTTTTTTTTTCAATTGCTTGTTTATTTATTCAGAGCGAATTTAATAGTTAGTTATTTATTCAAGATGTATGACCTCTCGGCCTTTTACATTTTTGCACCCCTCCCATAAAAGTACAAAACACTGTTATAAAAATTGAAATAATAACACATCTTAGATACAATGTCTAGGTATTTTAATTTTATAGTTAATAGAATCTGGATTATATCATTTCTGGACATGGCCCTTAACGAGGAGAAAAAAGTAGCAGCTAGGCTCCTACCAGGGTCCTTAGAGTTGTACTAAATATTATTACTGGTACAATAGTTCATCTTATTACTAATACCTAATATCTAATATCTTCGTAGAGTCTGTGAAATGAAGGATAATTAGTTGTTCACCCCCCAGTGGGGAGTGGACAGGACTAGGCCGACAATTTCTACGGAGATACTTGAGAAAAGAAAAAAAAAAATAAACCCTCAAAAAAGAAAAAGAAACGCACCCCCAACTACACACGGAAGAGCTGCTGAGAAGTTGCGCCGCCCCAGGGATAGGCTTGTTTCTGCTTCCAGCTGGAACTAAAAATTAAAAAACGGTTGGATGTACCACAAGGCTCGTGCAGTTATCAGGAAACTGCACTGTGGATATGTCAGGTGTAGAGGTGGCAATGCGTTGACGGCATCGCCTCATCTCCCCCTCTCATTAAGAGCTTCGTGCTTCGTCAGCTGCTCTCATCAATTTCTCCCACTCTCTCACCAGCTTACATAACTCATTGACTGGGCGACCCTTTAAGGTCTCCCAGACCGACTCGTCCCGTCTAACCTTCAGCCAGTTACCCCAGTGGTCCTTTAATTTCTCCTTGATTCCCTTGCATTCTAAGATGTGTCCCAGGGTTTCCTGGTCATACTCACATAGTCTGCAAGATACATCAGGGTATCCTTTGTTACCAGCTCTACCCACGTTTCCGCTCCTCATTCTGGCCCAGGTGACTTTGTTGCCCCACGTGACAGCTTTGTCACTCCAGTAGTCATAAGGGTTGTCTTCGAGTTGAATCAGAGATTTGTATTGCGGGCAAAAAGTAGATCTTTCGATTTTTACTTAGTCTCTGTGCCATTCGTTCTGGGTCTGCTTGTCCAGATGCTCTTTCAACCACTCGTCGAACGCCTCTTTATCCATTTCTCCCTTGTACAGTTTGTTGTAGACCTCTTCATCTCCTTGTTCCTTCAAGGCAGCCAGTAGGGTCCTACCCCAGGCAGAAGAGCAACCGTTCCCAAGTGCTCTCAGCTCTTCTTTTAGGCACGTCCTAATCAGCCTGTCGTCTTCCAGCTGCCATATTTCACCTATGTATTTGAGGGCTCTTCTCCTCATCTCCAGTTCTAGACTACCTCTTTGGCTCTCTCTTCTCCAGATGTAGGCTGGGGTATTCCTCGTGATTCCCATTCCCATTTTCACCACCTTTCCCTGTACCCTCTCAATCGGCTCCCTCCTCACCAGACCCCAGATCTCTCCGCAATAGAGAGCAGCAGCTTTGCCCAGGGTGCTGAGTATGTATAGTCTACTTTTCAGGGTACTGAGACCAGCTCTTGAGCATACCCCCCAGGCGGCATTCAGGGCCTTGGACGCTTTGCCCGTCATTTTGGCTACATGCTCGCCCATAGTGTTCTTGGTGGTGAACCAAAAACCCAAGTATTTGAATCTGCTCACCGTCTCCAGCTCTTCCCCATTGATGAACCAATGCTCGTTTGCTGCTTGGCGACCTCCATTTCTGAACACAAGAACCTTTGTCTTCTTCACATTGATCTCTAGTTTGTTCCTTAATACATAGGCTTCAGCCTTCTTCAGCATTTTACTCAGGTCTAGTGTAGCGTGCTCCGATATGACGGCTATGTCATCCGCAAATTTCAAACAGAAAACCTTGGTACCCCCTATTACTGAACCCCCCAAGTTTCTCTTCTCCCACTCAGTATCTATGTCATCCAGGAAAAGGTTGAAGAGGAGAGGGCTGAGAGGACATCCCTGCCTCACTCCTCTGCCCGTACTGAATCTACTGGAGATCCCCACACCTGTGATCACCTCGTTCACTGTGTTTTTGTAGATGGATTTCACCATGTCGTAGAAACGTCCCCTAATCCCTAGTTTCCACAGTTTTTCCAGGAGTAGGTCCCTGCCGCCTTTGAGCGAATTTAATATATGTTGCTATTTATATCTTGACATTGAATCGATGAATTTCTTTTTTTTTTCCATATGTTTTATTACAATATTTACCACAAATTTTGTCTTGATCGTACCCCCGAATCTCCTATGGATTCAAAGTTAAACGCAATTTTCTAGCTCCAACCCCTAAATCCGGCGCCGGGAATGAGAACCTTTTGTGCGAGAGAGAAGTCTCCGTTTCGTTCCCACTCGCTACAGCATTGTTGCGACCATTTGCGCATGCGCGCACGGGCCTGTGGAACATCACGGACTGAATGCGAGAAAAAGAATCATTTGAGGTTTTTCGTCAGCCGTTCGCTCTCTCTCCCTCTCACTCTCTCTCTCTCTC